GTGAATTTTCAAGTCAGTGAGGAAAGGATTGGTTATTCCACAAATGATGTTGAGGTAGGTGCGGAAAATTAAAGTGGGGCTCCAGCTCATACTTTATAGAGCGATCAGAGGTTTAATATGGAAAATGAAGCCATGAAAGTAATAGAAATAAACAAGAGAATTCATTACTAATCTCAGAGTGAAGAAGACCTTTCTAAGGATGCTCCAAATCCCAGAAGCCATAAAAAAAATATGGATCACTTTGACTGGATGCATAGAAAACTATGTTGGGGGAGAAACGCTAAAAAAAAAAAATAAGTCCAAGAGCAACACCTCTTAAGCAAAAGATTGCCTTAATATAGTAAGAAGCCCTGGGGTGGCTGAAATAGCTCCGTTGGGAGAACGTTAGATGGAAGAAGTCCTCCACATCAATAAGAAAAAACCCTATAGTCCATTAAAAAAAATGGGAAGAGGAATTTGAAGAAACAGAAGAGGAAACACACATTCTTCATGTTCCGCTTTACTCACAGAGCAATACAAAGTGAAACAACCAGCTGCTGTTTTCACCCTTTAGGTTACAGGCAAAACAGCATTGGTAAGAACATGGCGAGGCACTATGCTCCTCACACAAATCTAAGGGGAAGAGCTATGGCCTGAACGCGTCCTTTCCAAAATCTAGGTGTCGCCTGAGAGATAGTATTTAAGGGGCAGGGTCTTTAAGAGATGATGAGATCACAAGCTCTTGTGAAAAAGAATGCAGATTGAAGATGTGTCATGTACAAGTGCCAGCTCCCCGTGATGAACACATTCATTATGTGCCACAGACAGGTACTGATAATAAGCAGAAAGAGCCTGACTGAGCATCTGCCCTTCCTGCAGGCCTGCCTCCCACAGGCTGAGGGCACAGCATCCTCCCCTCTGGAGAACACAGCGGGCGGAGGGCAGCCCTGAGCAGATGCCAGTGCCTGGATCTTTGACTTCCCAACTTCCAGAATTGTGAAAAAAAAATTTCTGTTCTTTACAAATTACCTAGTGTCAGGTATTTTGACTTAGCAGCACAAAATGGACTGAGACAGAAATTTAAAAGCTTCTGTGGAGGAAAGTTTGACAATGCTTACCCACAATCAAAAAAAAAAAAATTTCACAGATCCTTTGATGGGGCAGTTTTACCTTTTTTTCTTGGTGGTATTGGGGATTGAACCCAGGACCTTCTCACTGAGCTACATTCCCTACACCCCTTTTAAATTTTGAGACAGGATCTCACTAAGTTGCTAAATTTCCTGGGCTGGGTTCAAACTTGTGATCCTCCTGTCTCAGCCTTCCAGAGTGCTGAGATTACAGACATGCACCACCACATCCATTATAATTTTACTTTTATAGAAACAATCTCAAAGTCCTTCAAAAGGAAAGTCATTAAATCAATTGACACTAGTGAGACAACAGAATATCATGCCACTGAATAAAAAGAAAAATTTAAGTCTATAAGGGCCTTGATTTTATTTCCAATGTTTTGATCTAATCACTGTGAGTGGTTTCAGGGCAGTTTGAGATTATTTCTAAGACTTTTTAAATGAAGAAAGCAAGATGGAAAATAAAATTTTGTTTTAAAAGAAAAAGGGAGGGAGGAAATTTATATATTGCATAGACTACTTCTGGAACCACACAAGAAAGTCTCTTGGAGAGAGTGTCTGGGATGGGTCAGTAAGAAGACTGAATGCTTGTGTCTTTCCTTTTGTCTCTTTTGGGTTTTATACCATACGCTCACATACTCAAAAATCAAATAAGAGGCTCTAGATGTTGCTCAGTGGTAACCTGCCTCGCATGCACAAGGCCTTGGGCTCTGTCCCCAGCACCACAAAAATAAATAAATAAATAAATAAGTACTTTCACTGTAAAAAGTTTAGAATACATAAAAATATTTTAAATCACTTTAAATATAATTGTATGCTTAAGATCTTTTTAATTTAATATATGTGAACTTTTTCCTGTGTCTTTAAAAATATTTACAAATATTATTTTAATTCTTTTAATGGTATTTCACTTGGTACAAATTCATTATATGTGTATATATTTCTCTGTTGCCCACTTAGGATATTTGATGTGTCCATTTAAGAACTCATTTTGTGCTCTTTAGCTTTTGCTAGTTTTAATAATACTGTGATGAACATCTTTGTACATTTGTCTTCATCCACAACTTGGATTATTTCCTTAGAATAAATTATAATAAACTGACCTAGTGGCTCTGGGATATTAAAAAGGTTGAAGTTTCTTGATACAATCAATAAACCGCTCCTTAGAGAGGTCCTGGCAGTTTACATCTCAGTAACAGGGTTGGAGAGTGACCATTTTTGGGCACAATTTTCAACTCTGAGGATTCTTTTTCTTTTATTTCCTCATTTGCCATTGACTTTAAAGAGCAGATGGTGTGTGAAGAAAAATATAAAAGTGGGAGCCCAGGGAAATGATGCATGTGTGTTCTGGATTGGAGAGCCCCAGACCCATGCTTGGAACCACTGTGTGCCAAAGGGGAGGCTTTTCCCCCCCGGGCAGCTTGTGAGGTCATACAGGGCGAGGGCCAAGTCGGAGCCACGGAGTCTTCCAGCGAGAGGCTGGCCTTTCAGATGAGCCTGTAACTCCATGTGGTGGTGTGGTGTCGGGTGCTGCACATAGCAGACAAGAACAGCAGTGCAGTGCTCTGTCGTGGACAGAGGCTGTTCCCAGCACTCCTGAGAAGGAGCGGCCCCATCATCCCCACAGATAGCTAATGGGAGTCCAGGATGGATAGGTAGACATTCGATCCAAAGAGTATTTATGGGGTGCTTGCTCTTTACCAGGCATTGTTTGGAGAATCTGGGTGACCAAAAATGGTCACACTCAATTTGTCCGTTAGCTCAGCTGTCAGGATTAGGCCTTTCAGTTTGACTTGGTGAAAATCCAGACCAAAAAAAAAAAAATTCTCTATTCTCATGGGGCTGATAATTCTAATTAGAGGAAAAGAGCTAGGAAACAGGCTCTGTAGCCTGCTCAGGGTCTGACCCTTCCCATGGGCAGCAGGTGTGATGTGGAGGAAAAGCCTGAGCCTTCGAGCCAGAGTGTCTGCCCGAGACCTTTCTGCGTCACGGTTATGAATTTACCACAGAGGGCTGTGGTGGCCATGAAGTAAGTGATATATGTTAAAGCATGAGCACCTGATGAATGGTACCTTTACTCTTACCATTAGCATTGTTGTCATAATCCGTACTTGTTGCTACTGTTAGCATTATTGCAACAGGCCATTCCCGTCTTCTGAGCTTTGAGCAGTTTCTTCAGAGGGAGAGGAGTGAAACTGACCTGCAGAAGGAACCACCTCAGAAGCCAGAGAGCGGCAATGGCGCTGAAGGCAAATAAAAAGATAGGCAGCGTGCGCCATCTGCTGGAGATAGGGAGAATTGCCCCCACCCCCACCAAATTGTGGCCCCCATCTTGATTTTCCAAATGGGGAACCTGAGCCCAGAGAAGGGCCGGAGAGTAGGCTATAAAACAAAAAGTATGTTATTATACCCAGATAATTTTTTCCCTTGCAGTGGGGATGGAACCCAGGGCCTTGTGTATGCTAAGTAAGCACTCTACCATGTCCACTCTATGTCCCCTGCCCTTTCAATAATTCTTAAAGTATATGGCTCCTTTTTGTGTATGTAGTTCTATTTCCTCTCTAGGCTGTATTATCACCCACCAAGGCTGCTAACTACCACCTGGAAAATAGTTTCTAATTTCATAACCTTGCTCCCCTGTCTGTCCTGAGTTCCATCCTGTTTGTCCCGTGTACCTCTTCTACTTCTCCCCTTGAAGGGCTCACAAGCAACTCAAAGCTAGCATGGCCAACTGGAACTCCTAATTTCTACCCCACCTTCCCTTCCCCAATACTCGTCTGCTGTTCCCCATATCAGAAAGCCAGACTTCTACCTTCTTACTTATTTGTGTCAGAAACCTAAATTTCCCATCAGTCAAACACAGACCTGTTGATCTTTTCTCCAGATTATATCTACAAGGTGTCTCACCACCACTGTCTGATTGTACCCAGACTCCACAGGAGCCTCCTAACTTACTCCTTTCTAGATCCCGCTCCACCCCATACCCAAGCCATCTTCGAAAGTGCACAGCTGATCAGTTGTGACCTGGCCTAAAACCCCTCAGGGTTCAGGAGTCAGATATGATCTGGCCCTGCCCACCCTAGCAGTGTCTTTGGAGACCCTGTGCTCTCCTGCACAGTCCAACCTGCCACACCTTCCTTCCCCAGAACATTCCACTCTTGCTGTTCCTTTTTTTTTTTTTTTTTTTTGAGACAAGGTCTTGCTATGTAGTTCAGGCTGGCCTTAAACTCACTATATAGCCCACTCTGGCCTCAAACTTGTGACAGTCCTCCTGCCTCAGCCTCTCAAGGGCTGGGTTTATAGGTGTGCACTACCATGTCTGGCTGTTCCTTCCTCTTGTAATTCTCTTACTCTCACTCTTCATCTGCATAATGCCTGGCCACCCTTTAATCACAGGTAAAATCACAGGCAGTCACTCCAACACCCTGTATTCTCCCTGAGAGCTATGGCCCTAGGTACTAAGTACTTAGGTACTCAGTAGTTTGATGCAGCCTCCAGCTTGGAAGTTCTGTAGCTGGATGAGAGGGCACCTGGGGAGGAAGTGAGTGTTGCAGCTTCGGGGAGGGGGCGGGGTATGAGCCAAGGAAGCGTCCTCTGGATTGTAAGCTCTGTGCAGGTGGGCACCAAAGCTGACTCATGGCTACATCTGCCGCATCTAGCCAGTGCCAGCATGTGATGTTGATACTCGAGTTGTGTTTGTTTGTAACCTTAGAATAAAGACGCAGTGTATGTACTTGAAGATGATGGTGGTTTGTCTGGGTATAGAATTATGAGTGACTTATTTTATTTTTTGTCCTTCCTATGCTTTCTGCTGTCTTCAGTGAGGAAGGGAGCAACTGTCATTTTGTCCGAAGACGCCAGTGCCTCACCTCTGCCCTCCTGTCCCCACAGGCCTGAGAGCGATGCGACAGGCATGATGGAGGTCGAGTCCTCCTACTCGGACTTCATCTCCTGTGACCGGACAGGCCGTCGAAACGCAGTCCCTGACATCCAGGGCGACTCGGAGGCTGTGAGCGTGCGGAAGCTGGCTGGAGACATGGGCGAGCTGGCCCTCGAGGGGGCAGGTGAGAGCCAGTGCACTTCAGCGTCCCAGCATGCCAGGAGCCTCTGCCAGCTCCATGCAGGTCTCCGAGTTCTAGATTACCCACACTTCCTCAGAGAAGCAGCTGCATGCAAATGGGGCCTGGCCCATGGTCAGCAGCAGAGTCCAGCCAAGCGCTAGCTGGAGGGTGCCAGCATCCCAGGCCCTGCCACTCTGGCTCAGCATCCAGGGCCCGTCCCTGCCCCCACCCTCCAGTCCACCCATCAGTCCCATCAGCTCTCTCAAGATGCAGCCCAGCTCCACCTGTTTCTCTCAGCCTCTACCTGGCCAGCCACTCTCGCCCTCCCTCTGCTCTGTACAGCAGCCATCCTGTCCTGTCCCCCCGTGGTATCCTACCACAGCAAAGCCAGGCTCTTCAGTGCCCATGGCAGCCCTGCTACTTGGATCCCACCCAACACCATGCTGCACACCCACCCCCCGCATATAACCTTTGGTGTGTTTCTCAGCCAAAGTGCAGGTCTTCCCCGGCAGCACCTTTTGCCTCACTTTTTCCTCTGCCTAGAATGCCTGGCATCCAGAGTTGGGGCTGTGGTCCCCTCACACTCAGGCCCGAGCTCAGCTAGCAGGTCCCTGGTGGATCTCCCCAGACAACTCAAGCATCCTTCCCAGGAAGGGGACTCCCAGATAAGGTCGTGTTTGTTTGACTGTGAGCTCCAGGAGAGCAGGGCCTTGCTCAGCTCAAGCCCACTGGCCCTTCTTCTGGGAAGTCTTTTCTTTTTTTGTTGTTTTTTTGTTTTGTTTTGTTTTTTGGTACCGGGGATCAAATTCGGGACCTTGCGCTTTCGAGGCAGGTGTTGAAACCACTGAGCTCAATACTGGCCCTGAGAAGTCTTTTCTGATGCCACCTGGCTTCCCACAGCACCATGGAGGCCATGACTGTCACATCATTTCCCACGGTGCCGAGCAGCTTCAGGCCCTCTGTCCTCCCGGGCATCTTCGGAAAGCCGTAGCCTTGTCTTTCTCTGTGTAGCCCCAGTCTGGAGCTCTTGGACTTCGCTGTACAGAGGTGACCTGTGGTGGCAGGACAGAGTAGACTTTTGGGACGGGAGGGACCCAATCCTTTTGGGTTAGAGATGGGCAGACTGAGGCCCAGGTAAGTTGGTTTGCTCAGGATCATCCAGCAAATGACCATGGTTAGCATGGCCATTTTTATTCTGAGAAACAGCCCGCTGACACCCTCAGAACCCCATCCAGGCCTTTCTGTTTGAAAGTCTGTCAGCTTTCCCTTGTGGTATGGCCCAATTTCTTACCCAAGTATGGATGCCTCCTTGGGTCACACCCTCTTTCCCTCTCCAGCCTCAACACGGACTTCCTCCCCAGGTGCCCTTTTATCTAGGCAAAGCCAAGTATTGCTGGTTCTCAAGGTCCTTTGATGGGCCATACTACCTGTACCCTCTGGCTGGTTCTTCCTTTCTGCACTGCTTAGCTGGCTCCTTCTCATTGTTGCAGACACCTGCTCGGCTGAGAGCCCCGCTGACCGCACCCTCCACAGCAAAGAGGGGCTCCTCTTCTCCCAGCCACCTCCACCATCCTCTTAGCATAGGGCCCCCATAGCCCAAGCACTCCAGCACAGGCTCTGCCTTGTGCCCTCAGTGCCTGGCAGCAGGTGGCACATGACGGGTGCCTCCTCTGTAGCTGTTTACTGGCTGACTCTCTGAGCGGGGTCCCCAGCTGCTCTACCGGGCAGGCTGCCAGGGGCTCACTCAAGGCTTCTGTGTCCTTCTCTTCAGCTCTGATAAACTTTCTGTCCCCCTCTACCAAAGCTATTGTAGCTGCTTGTCCCTGTCCCCAGGCCTTTCTCTACTGTTTGCTCCCTCTGACTCACAATCCTTGAAGTGTCTAGGTCCTCCAGGGGAGTGGAGATACCTGCAAGGTAACTGACATTTAAGGGGACTGGAGGACAGATCAGTGCTCTCTGAAGGGACATGAAGCACTTGTGGGGGAGTTCAGGCGGGAGTGACTGGTCCAGGGCCCTTCTGGGCCTCACAGTGAGCAGTGTCTGGGCAGGGACTCTGGCCCAGGGCAGCCCCTCTGCTTTCAGCTTCTGGGAGACTGATAGGCAGCCGGGCAGGAAGGGGAGCCGCAGTCCTTGCCTGCTGGGGAGCCTGGCTACCTGGGCCCCCCCAACTCTGTGGCCTACTCATGTTTGTCATTCCTTCCCAGCACCCTGTGCACACACCTTTCTTCTCCTTGGTATTTCCTTATGTAGGGAGCTCAGATGTTTCCTTACTTTGGCTAATAATGAGAGAAACAGGCCAGACATAGGTGCTCGTCCAGTTGGGAGGAACATTTTCTAATGCTGGTCTGCAGCTGGACCCAAGGGAGTCCCAAGGGTGCTGATAGACCAGGAAATGCCTGAAGACCTTCCCTCACTAAGGGAGAGCCGGGGCTGGCATGAAAGAAGCGTTATATTGGCTGAACATTCCCACGTGCCACATAAGTACATCGGGGCCCTGCATCCCCATGGTCTGTGCAGAGGCGTCACCACCCCCCTGTATAGATCAGGAAGCAGAGCTCAGATTAAATGACTTGCTTGAGCGGGAAGCAGCAGAGCAGAGATTACTGGGAAATCTGGAGAGAGTATTCCTGCTGGCTGAGGCAGGAGGATTGGGGCCAAATAAGCCATCACAGGTGGAAATTTTGCCCAAAGTATGGTCTGCTTAGGCTTCAAGGGCTCATAGTTGAAAGACTGCGTCCGAGTTCTTATGCCACTCTCACAGCACCCATGTGCTCAGACTTCCGGAAGGACACTGAGGTAATGCTGCCACACTGTCCTTTGTAAGCACTAGACCAGTGGTGGCGAACCTATGGCACGCACGCTGGAGCGGGCTGTTTCTATCATTGCAAGCTCTAAAACGTTCACCATCACTGCGCTAGACAATGCTGCTCACTGGAAGAAGGCAAATCCAGTGGAAGGGGGACTGGCTTTGGCACCAAGCAGCTCCATCTCTCGATCTCAGGCAGACGAGTGTGGTTTCCCTAATTGCACCTCCAGGTCACTGTGTGAACGGTAGAGAAAATGCCCTCAGTCCACAGGCCCTGGAGCGCCGCAGGGCGGTGGTTCTCCTCAGTCAGAAGGGCTTAGCCGAGGTGAGCTGAAGAGGGAGGCCATGTGGGGGCGTGCGGTCTGGCAGGGCCGAATTCGTATGCAGGCCCTAAATGAGCCTACAGGGCCCCTGGTGACATCACATCGTGTCACAGGAGCTGTGCCCCTCCAGAGAGGCTATCATTACGAGCACAAAATCAAATTCTGGCAAGCTGGCAAGAGTGCAGGGGAAAGGAGCCCTTCTGCGTTGCTGGTGGGAATGTAAACTGCATAGTGCCACCCCTGGGGAAATCAGTTTAGAAATTCCAGAAAACTAAAACTAGAAATTCCATTTCACCCAGGTATTGTCCCTTTCAGCTACCTTCCCCAAAGAGTAAGAGACATCCTATCACAGTGAGGCATGCATACTTAGTTTATAGCAGCTCAACTCCTAATAGTTAAATCTTGGAAGCAGCCTATATGTCCATCAGCAGATGAATGGATAAAGAAAATGTGGTGTTACGCAGTGCAGTACTGCTCAGCCATAAAGCATAAATTTGAGTCATTTGTAGGAAGAAGGATGGATCTTGAGACCATAGTGCTAAATGAAATCACAGAAGCTTAAACATTGCATGGTTTCTCTTATATGAGAAACCTAGTATATAAGAGCAAAACATAAAAGAGGCGATAGGAAACAGGGAGGTAGACTTCATGGAGATGGGAAGGGGATCTTGAGATGGGGAGAGAGGGGGAAGGGGAGGGGGAGGGGAGTAAAAACAATCAAGATGCAGTATGTGTGTGCAGCAATTGCCCAAGATGGATGTAATTACTATGTATTGCAAATATATACCAAAGAACCCCAAAACCCCAAAAACAAAAACCACCACTGGTGGAGCTTTGCCCACAAGCCCAGTCTTGTGAGCACAATGTGGAAGATGCCTGATTACCACGAAGCTTGGTGAGGAGCACCCTGAGACTGGAGGGGCTGAGCGCCCGCTGTACCCTGCTCAGCTGCACTGCCAGCCAAGTGGCTGATGGCGGGGCCTGCCTGTCACCCCTTCCACAGTGGGACTCAGGGGAAGTTGGGGCTCAGGAGACCCAGCTCACGTGGTCCCTCATCCCCAGCCCTGCCCAGGTTTCCTGCAGGATGAGGTTAGGAGGGGTGGCGATTGCAGTAGTGTACTGGGTGGGCTGTCCACGCACGCCACGCCATGTGTCCTTGACACACACACTCCCACAGATTCTAATTCAGGTCCCACCTGGCACTCCCAAGCTGGCCGGGTCCAGTTCCCTTTTCTAAGAACAACTCCCATGTATTGAGTATCTACTTCATGCTGGGAAGTTAACATTTGCCCTCTCACTCTAAGAAACTTGCATAGTCATTTTCAATGCCCTTCACCTCTTGCTTTCACACCTGTCCACAATCCTGGCTTTTAGTTGACTTTGAAATACACCAACAACACTGCATGCATTCCTGTGGTAAAACATAGGCTGTGACAGACCACACTAAAGTTCCCTTTGGATACACCACCCTATTCTAGTTCTTGTTCTAGTCCCCAGCACCTAGCCAATGTTACAGTTTGGCTGGGCCCTTCCAGACGTGCATTTCTCCTTTACATTAGTGTACAAGTAGTAAATGTGCCCAAGAAAAAGCACTCCTGGCCAGGCATGGCAGTACACACCTATAATCCCAGCACTTGGGAGGCCGAGGCAAGAGGGTTGTGAGCTCAAGTCCAGCCTGGGGTACACAGTGAGATGTGTCTCAACCATTCCTCTTTCTTTCCTCTCTAGAAGGACAGGCAGAAGCAAGCACCACGGACAAGGAAGCCAGCAACCAGCCCGAGAGCAGCAGTGGGACCACCTCATCTTGAGTCTGACCTTGTCCTGGAGGCCGGAAGAGAGACCTGCTGCCCCCTCCCAGAATGGGAGCCCAGGCACTGGCCCGGCGGCCTCTTCCCTGAGCCCATGTCCCAGGCCAGACTGAGGCCTCTGTGGTCCCTAATCTAGGAAGTCCTTTGCCCACACCCACGGGCTCCACATTCCCACTACCTTCTCTGCACACCCAGGTACACTCTCAAGACACTGTAACCACGGGATGTTATTTATTCAGCGGCCACAGGACTCAGGCTGGGCCCTGCCAACCGGGTGAGCCGCCCCCAAGGGGACACTCCTCTTGGCCACCTGGACAGGGCCTGTGTCCCAGCACTGCCCCTCCTTTCCATCCCCGGCCTTCCAGGTCAACACCTTCTTTCCCTTTTTTAAAAAAAAAATACTTTTAAACTTTTTAAAAACTTTAAACCTTTTTTCAGCAGAGAGGGAGAGAGCTGATAATCAATTCACTTTGTTTTGTTTTTTTAGGAAAGCCATTTTAAGCTCAACTCTGACCATCTATGCAGCTCTGAGGTTCCCTCATGGAGCTTCACAGATCCATTTATAGGGAAGGAATTTGGGCTCAAAACTAACAGAGCGATTCTTTGCCCTTTTTACCAAGATAAGTGACTTAGGCCCCAGTAAATAAATGCTGATGATTTGTGTGACTGGTTTAAGATTATTTCTCCTTTAAATAGTGAAACCAGAGGCTGAGCATTGTTTCCCCAAGTCCATAGTTAGCTTGGCTCTATTGCTATCTCTGGCTTTCATGAGCTGCTGAGAAGAGCCTGGGCTCCCAAGACAGCTGCCACTCCTAGCCCGGCATCTGATGAGCCCTCTTCCCATCTCACTCTCTTACCCAGCCAGCTGTTTGGAGGGCTTGAAAGGAAGGTTTTTGCCTCGAGACCCTGAATGGAGGAGCCAAGAATGCAGGGGGCATCTTAGAGGACAGCCCCTTGGGAGAAACCTCATCTCTCCTGGAGGGAGAGGCCCTGCTTTCTCCGCCCCAGCTAGGAAGCTCCAGCTCTCCATTCCCAGCCTGCGCTGGGCTCTTGGGCCCTGCTGCTGAATAGGCTGCCAAGTGTGGGAGCCATAGGTTTCCTTCCATTCCTACCTCACTCAGGTCAACCAGCCAAGACCAAAGTACCACACAATGCAGGCTATACAATGCCAGCTACTGGCTGCTTTATTGAGCACCAGATTTTCAGCACAAGTCACCTGAGGAGGAGGGTTTCAGTCATGGTCATCCTTGGCAAGGGCCCTGGTCCCTAGGCAGGGCACACAATCAGAGGCAAGATGCGGTCAGTCGCAGGTTTGTGCATATGATACACATCAGGAGCTCCTGAAATCTTGGTCTTGAGGAAGGAATGTAGGTAAAGTGTCACTTGATCCCACAGAGTTATGCAGGCTCCATCCATGGGGTGAGGGGCTCAGAGGTGGCCATGCCATCTTCAAGGGTCCTGATCTGTCAGGTCAGAGAAGCAGAAAGATCAGACAACTCACAGTACCCCCCAGGACACTGTAAAAATCACAACTCCAGCACCAGAAAGGGACTCCTACAGACAGCAAGCCTGAGGCTTAGAGCAAGGTGACGCCTTGCCAAGGCCACACAGGAGAGAAGAAGCAGAGGAGGCCAAGACCCGGTCCAATTCCCTGCTCTTGGCTTTTGGACAGCTTTGGGCAGTCTGGGCCTGGCCTCAGAAAGTCTCGCCTTTGACCAGGCTCTCCAGAAAGCAGCTACACAGAAAATAAGCCAATCTGATGAGGGGCGGCCACAGCCAGGCCCAGAAGCCAGGCAGTCAGCACATGTCCTTTGTGCCGCCCAGGAGGAAGGGCTCTTGCTAGAAGTCACACAGGAAGCTGGCAGAAGACAGGGCAGGGTGACCATTGGAGCCCAGACAAAAACATACCGGCAGTGGCTGGCGGAGGTGGCAGCCTGTAGGCCCTGTAGAGCTGGTTGAGGAGATCCTCCTTCTCGTTTTCTGGGAGGAAGGAGGACCTTGCAGCATTGATGTTCTAGAAGGGCCAGGGTAGTGGACAACATGGAATCAGGCAACAAGGCCGGGAGCCTCTGGCATCTAATAATAATAGTTCATCCTCTTCATGGAACATGGACAGTAGAGCTCAGGGAGGGCTTGACCCAGGTCACCAGGCAGCAAGTGCTGGTGCAGAGACACAAGGCTCTTGACACAGCACTGTGTGATGCAGGGCTGTGAGCAGGAGGTTGGAGACACCTTTGTGAGAGGTGGGAGGTGGTGGGTGGCCCCCAGCAGGAGCTGACTCAGCATTATAACGCAAGATCAAGTGCTCAGCCGGGATCTAGGAGCGGCCTGAAGGGTGCAGATTTTCACAGCGAGGCACATCTTTTGGGGGAGAGGGACCCTTTGAGTGCACTCGATCCAAGCAAAGGCTAAACCACCTGGCCCCCAGGGCATCAGCACCAAGGCATCTTGTGTGGAAGGTGTCTGACACTATGCTTGGCTAGGCTTGGACCGCCAGGCTAAGTCACTCCAGGTCTCTTGGGGCTCCAGGGCCTGGACCTGACCTGCAAGCCTCAGACCCCATGGCCAGGAGTCAGGGCAACAGCTTGCACCACTCACCAGTCGCTTGAACTCCTCCTCGGTGAAGCCCATGTCCCGTTTGGCCATCTGGTAGTCAGTGTCGAGGGTAGACCTGAAGACGAGCGGGTCGTCTGAGTTGAGCGAGTAGTTAACTCTGTCGTCCTTGAACCTGGTGGGTGCACAGGGAGAGAAGATCCTCCTTTATCCTTCTGTGACCATCACTGCCTACGGCCTCATACCCGCTTTGGTCCTCACGAACCCACCAGGCTTTGTCCACAATCACCTAACCCGCAACACAAGACTCAACCCTATCCTGCCAGCCCAGAGCCAGGCAAAGGCACAGGAGGACGGATGTGAGAGCCAGGGAGAGCAAGGGCCCTGGGGGGCTGGGAGAGTGCCCCCCCCCAGCCTTCCCCTTCACAGCACTGCTCCAGAGAGGCGTCGGCACCCAATCCCACCGCTCCTCAGCCCCGCTCCATCAGGCCTTCCCAACACCTCGGAAGCCGCGCTTGGCACGGTCCCTGGCAGCCATCTTGTTTGTGCATAATGGACACTGTTAACTGTTCTTGAAGCATCTTCCCTAGATTTTTCTGACACCACACCTTTGGCTTTCCTTTTACATGTCTCTTCTTCCTGGCCCTTAAATGCTACTGCCATTTGGGGTTCTATCTTAGGCCCTCATGCTCCATCTTCTGGGGCCTTTCCTTCTTCAACCGTCATATCTGTGCAGATGAATCTTGAAACTGTCTCCAGCCCATGGGCTTTGCACCCACGTCCCTCCTAGAACCTGCCCTTGGATTGGCACCAGCACCACACATTCCTCATTCCTGAGGTCAGCCTGAGAGAACCCTTGTCAATGCCAAAGCACAAGCTCCCTCCCTTTACATAAGCTTGCCAGGTAGATCTGTGCCAGCTTGACCATGGTCACCCCAAGTCCTTGCTGTCCTTATTCTGCTTCAGGGGAATACACCTTTGCCCTCCCAAAGCCTGATGCCTTGTCCCAGGGCTTGATCAGAGGACAGATGGAGGGGCTTGGCCCTGGTTAGGCTGTGGGATGGGAGTAGGTGTGGGAGAGACCCTCCAGGGGAAAGCTTTAAGACGACAGGTGGAGCAGAGAACACACGGGCCAGAGACTCATCTTCCTGAGGCCCAGGAGGCAGAATTGGGAAAATTGAGAGTGGACATTTCCCTTGGGACAGTGGGGCATTCTGCTGTGGCTGAATGAGGGTCCCCAGATTTGCTGGTTAGTAGATGGGGCATGTCGGTCAAGTTACAGCACAGCTGAGCTTTGGTCTCCTCCTTGGTGGGATGAGGACAGCAGGGCCTGCTTCCTAGGTAGCTCTCACAACTAACTGACCCAGCTCGGGCCAGTGCCTCATCCCTGTGTTCCCTCCCCACTCTGGGCTTCCCAGGAACGGAACTGAACGAGTCCTGGGGGCCAGAACTCACCGAATGGCCGGGTGCTCCGTTTCTGGCTTCCAGGCACCTGTGAGGTAGCTGGACCAGGGACAGACCTGCAAGAGCAGGTGTGTAGCTGGCAAGGCCTCCTCTCTCCACACCTAGCTCTTGAACAGCCACTGGCCACTCCCTCGGGGCTCGCCTGCTTCTCTTGCTCTGGAGACCTGCCTGTCTAGGAGGGGGTGGGACATCCAGGGACGGTTTCCTCAACCCCCTGGCCCTCACCTCAAAGTGTATGTTTTCCTTCCTCAGCCTGTTGTAAAGGGCCTTGTCCTCCAGGGTGTGGTAGCCATGTCCCACCCTCTCTGTCTTGAGTATGTCCACAGCCTGTGGAGAAGCAGAGGGGAACCCAGTGTGGGGAGCAGGTCCAAGGAAGCAGGGCACAGGGGCTTTCGGTCAGCACCTCCTCACCTCTCTCACGATCTCTGCAGAGCCCACCTCCCCGGCATGGACAGTTCGGTGAATGCCGCTCTTCACGGCCTCCTAGAAGGGGAAGAGCCAAGTCAAGAACCCTGCCAGGCCCTGGCTTTGCCAACTGGGGTCTGAGTTTTGGCAGGCTTAGGCTGGCCCTACGTCAGGCCAGGCTGCTTCAACAGCATGGGGCAGCGTGGGCTTGCTTGGCCCCAGTCAGGACCTAAGTGGTAGCTGTCCCTTATTACACAGTTCTGTGTGTCAGGCTCTGAGATGGCTTACATTATCCGACAGTCATGAGTATTATAACATTTTATAGCACAGGAAGCTGAAGCTCAGGAAAGTTAAGTAATAGGACAGACACCAAACAGGAAGTGTGGATCCTTGGAAACAAGCCCAGAGAAGACAGTCTTATCCAAAGCCACACAACAAATCATAAGCAGATGCAGCCTCAAACACAAGACTCCCAACACCACATGCCACACCATGTGGGGTTTGTTCGGTCTCTCTTTTGAGACAGGCTGGGCTTGAACTCATCCTCCTGCTTCGGCCCCCGAGTACTGGGATAATGGGCTTGCATCACTGTACCTAAAATTCAGGGGCTTTTTTTTGTACTGGGGATCAAACTCAGGACCTCGTGCTTGCTAGGCAGGCGCTGTCACTGAGCTAAATCCCCGGCCTGAGGGGCTTTCTATACCCAGTTCTGAGCCCCCAGACCTAACAGACACACTTGGGGACTCAGAAGGCCCCCCACTCCCTGTCTGGGATAGCTCTCCCCACAGGCCCACCAAGTGCCAGTCTCCCCTCTCCCCACAGGCCCACCTTGTAGGCCTCCAGGTGCCCCGGGAGGCTGCTGCTTCCTTTAATGGTCTCGTCGCCAGCCAGGTCGATGCCCACCACAGTCTGCTGCCAGTACTTCTTACACAGCTCCACCACCTCGGGGGACCAGTCTATGGCGAGATGCCCACCAAGGCTCTGTCAGCAGCATGGGGAGCAGGGCTGCCTCCCACCCCGATCGCTGTCACATGTCCCCTAGTGCAAGACAGCTCAGTGTCTGGTCTTGGAATCCTGACCCACATGCCCTTTGACCAGTTGCTCTGGCCACAGCCTCAGACCCCTCCCTCAGCAGAGGGGGCGCCACCACTGCTGTAGCACAGGGCCAAGACAAGGCCGTGCTCAGGCCAAGAGTGAGGCAGGAAGGGCAGACCCCGGCCCAGTAAGGGACGCGTGGGCCGTTTCTTCACTTGGTGCCTACAGTGGCTCCCAAGATGGCTTTCCCTCACTTAGAAGATGAGGAAATGGAGCTTAACTGAAACTCAGGCTGGGATTGCTAAGGGTATTACTACTGTATTATATAACCTTAACCCATAAAGTTATTGTGATTTATTTACATAAGATGAATGAACACAGGGTTTAGGACCAGATGGCCCCAGATTCAAACTACAACTTTGTGTTTCCCTGGCAGAGGAGCAAGAGGGTTTACCTTTTTCTGACTCAGTTTCCCCATCTGTCAAGTGTCGTTAAACAATGGTAGTCACCTCATAGGCTACAGCAAGGATTAGAGAAAATGCACACAAGTTGCTGCCCTGAACAGGCATGTAGGTTGGCATCAGCCTCTGGCTTGGTTCCCCCTGATCCTTAGAGGAAGTGATTCTCTGGTGACATTCTCAGAGAGGTGGCACAACTTGCCCAGTGTCACACAATGGGGTCTGCTGCAAGGAGCTCAAGCCCTCGGAATTTGGTCAGTGTCAGTGATAAGGAAGACCCCTCAGCAACCCCAGAAATCAGACTTAAGCAAGGGCTCTGTGGGCCAACCGGGAAACTGTGGGCTTGGACAGTTTTCAACTGCTCAAGATCCTTTGGTTTTATGCTTCCTATAGGCCACGTGGCTGTCAAGAGTGTCACTGGGAAGACCAGAGCCTTTCTAGAGCCCCAGGAGCATGCTGATGTGCTCAGGGGACACCAGGGCAGCTCAGCCACAGCCCACAGTCAGGCCAGCAGGTCGGGGCCAGGGGCAGTCGGGCAACCGGTGATCGTACTCACTGGGCTGGTGGCGCATGCAGCACAGGATGGACCGGGCCTTGGTTCTGAAGGCTTTCTCCCCCCGCTGCAGGCCCTGATTCACGAGGTTCACCACCTCATCGGGCGTGATGTCTCCTCTGTGTAAGGCAGGAGAAGGGATGGGACTGAGCAAGGGGGGAAGAGCTGCCCCACTGACCCAGTTCTTCTGGGGATGGACAGATGACCCAGGCCTTGGCACATCCCTGCCAGCCTCGTTAGCGTGGCCTGGGCACTTCTAGATGCCAGTGTGTGGTGGTGTCAGACCCAGTTCTCGGAGAGCATGACTGAGCTCAGGCCCATGTGGTTCCCGCTCCCAGGTAGATCAGAATCTGGCTCTGAAGCTGAGGCCAGGGCCTTGGTGCTATTATTTCCGGATCTGTGGGGGTCCAGGCACGGGAGCGGGAACGGGGCAGACTCACTCCAGCTGCAGGGTTGAGAAGACCCTTAGAAGTCGCTGGCCAAGCAGCTAACCTTCCCAGGCAGCAGGCCTGTGTCCAGAACTCGGGGCTATGAAGCACAGCCAAGTGCTGTTGCCCAGGGTGAAAACAACCCCAAGGTGAGGAGGATAGGAGCCACACTCCTATGGCCGAGTTAAACCCAATTTTCTGAGGCCATGGACCAGCGGCTCTGGTCTCAGGGTTGGGCCACCCAGCCACACCCTCAGCGCAGCCCACTCGAGGGCTGTCACTCACTCAGGCTGCTTCCAGGGGATCGGCTCCACTTTGGAGTTGGCCAGCAGGTGCGGACTGTAGCGCACCTCCACATACACCACACCCTCCTTGGCTTTCGTCTCCACGAACTCATAAGCAATCCTTTTGATGGCCTCCCTGCTGCCCCTGGGGAGGGAAGAAAGGGGTTGGGGACAACTTTCTTCAAAGCCCTTGGGAGTTCTGGGAGTAAACGAGGCTGTCCCCAACCCTTAGCAGAGCAAATCCACTTCTGACCGGCAGGGAAAGAAATCAATGGACACAGCCAGATAAATCCAATGGGACCGGGCTGAAGGACTTGCTAGGACTTGCTCATGGACTTATTTGCTGTGTGATCTTGGATTAGTCAGTCATCCTCTCTGACACCTACCTCAGAGGGTCATCATGAGGACAAATGAGCTAAATAAATGTCCTAAACCTCACCTAGGCCAGCGCTTAGAGCGCAGCAGACAAAGGCTAAAAGTATTTTCATTGTGACTACGGAGTGTTGGGCCCAGAAGCAAGGCACAAATTGACCTGCCAGATGCTAGTGGGCTCTGCCTAGCGAGAAGTTTCCACCACAAAGAGTGGAAACAGAATGCTGGGTGGAATGTGAGGGAAGGCAGGCAAGCGTTCCACGAGCCCTGGATGCAAGAGCCTGCCCCTCTTCCCATTCCCTACCCCAGAATTCAGCCCCCCTCCCCTCCCCTCACAACGTGAAACCCTGAACTGGGGGACAGGAGACCCACGTCCATACCCTGCTCTGCCCCGGACTCCATGTCTTCTCTGGACCTCAGTTTACTCGGGCCAAAGGGCTCTTTATCTGACATCTGTAACGGTGCCCCGGGGCTGGAGAGGCCAGCCTGTCAGACTCCCAAAGAGCCGTGTGGCTTCTCTGGTGCCCTCGGAAAACCCCAGGCCGGCCCCATGCTTGGTCCTGGTCACAGGGATAGCCACTGTCCCAGGAGCTGAGGGCTGGGGACAACTCACGCGATAACAGGCATATAGTACTCAAACTTGGTCAAGAACTCCGGGAGGGACTGCGGCTTATCCATGCCGATGATCTTCTGCAGCTCTTGTGCTGTGTCAGCTGGAAGGGCGATCCCTCTCTGTCTGGAACAGAACCATGAGGGTAGAGGAGCAGTTCGGGGAGGATCCAGACAGCCTAACAGGGCAGGATGGACAGACCGAAGCCCCAGCAGGAAGAGTGGGCTCTCTCTACCCAACTCTTCCCCTTGGACAGATTGGAACACTGAGGTCCAGGGCCTGTGTAGCCAGGAGGCAATCCTTCCAGGACCTGCTGGCCCTAAGCCACGACAAGTCAGCAGACTTCAAGGACGGCAAAAGGGGCAAGCAGGGGCTGAAGTCCCTTTGTGTGAACGCGTGCACGTGTTGCTGATGCCTGGAGACAGGGCAAGTGTCAGGCGAGTGTCAGGACAAGTCCAGAACTTCCTCCTTAACCCCAGGAGTGTGCAGAGCCAGCTGGTCCAGTGCCCAGTCAGGGGTGATCGGGGCGTTAACTGCAGCACAACAATTCCTGAACCTCGGGCTGGCGCCAGGACATCCCCTCCACCCTCCTTCTGTCTGTCTCACCAAAGCAGCCCCCAGCCCAGCGTGCTATGAGAAGGCTGGGTGGCAGCTCTGGAGCAGGCCTGGTAAGCTGGCCACCCAGCTCAGAGCTCTGTCCCTTCCCTTCTCCAACCCCTTGACACAGGCCGGACCATGGCAACCCCCAGCACGGCCTGCTGCAGACAAATGCCCTCTGGCCTGGAGCCTTCCTCTCCTCATTAGCAGCTCTCCTGTCCCCTGGGCCACAGGAAGCAGGGTGCAGCTCCATGGCTTCTTCCTCTGAACACATCCCTGTCTCTCCCTCCTATCCTGGCTAGGCTCTAGTTCATGGGGGGGGGGGCGCTTCAGTTTCCCTGGGCTTCAGTTTTTTCTACTTTTAAGATAAAAAGGGACAGGCAAAGAAATGCTTCTTGACATGGGGCACAAAATTAGAAATGGACAAAAGGCACTTTGAGGAAACAATGCAGAGAAGAGAGCTTAAAACCTGAAATGAATATGCTCAAAGAGATGGGAAGATACCATGTCCTTGCAATAAGAATGTCCCTTTTAAAAAAGAGAACATTCAGGTATGAGGTGGGAGGGATGTGGCTCAGTGGTAGAGCACTTGGCTATCATGTTTCCACCACAGCAGAAAAAAAAAGTTTTCCTACATAAATGCCTGTTCCTAAGCCACTAAATATGCCCCTTCCTTATCTAGCAGCCTGGACTTTATGAGGTCACCCTGGTACCCATCAGGCTGCCAGCTGTGGCACCTTATCAGGCCTGGATCCCTATGAGACACCATGGCAGAGATGGTGCTTCTGCTGTATCTTCGGACATAGAGGACAGAGTGATGCTTAGTGCTCACCAGCTGAGCCTCCAGCTTGACCCAGTCTCCCTCCGAGGGGAAGGCCTTGGCTCTGAAGGGGAGTGAGAGGTCAGACTGTGTCCAAAGACAATGACTCTGACTCCTGCCCAGCAGCCAGCAGAAGGTGAGGTCCGAGAGGACACCTGGACACAGTATGCAGACAGACAGGAGGCAACTACCAGGTTCAGAGCAGGGTGGTGACCCAAGGAGAAGGTGGCCAGAGGAGTGGATCATGCAGGAGACCGAGAAAGAGGTAAACCAGGAACCTGGAAAGAGCAGACTCTCAGGAGAGGAAGGAATGAGACATGATGAGAACAGTCATTGAGACAGAACAAAGGTCGCTGGACTGGCCTGGGTGCCACCACAGGCTTCTCTCCTCTCTTCCCCTGCTCGCTGCTGACCTGGCCCTCCAGCATCTTTGGGGGTGCCCATACCGAGCTGGCTGCCTAAGGACTCTAGGGCAAACTCCAGGCGGCACCTGCCACACCCCCTGTCCAGGGCTCACCAAGCTGGCCCATGCTGGCAGCTCCTTCCCCTGTTCTCCACCCACCCTGGCCATTTTCACCTCCTTGATCCCACTAATGAGTGCTCTATGACCCATCCACACCCCCAGATCAGATCCCATCTCAGGGTCCCACCCTAATGACCTCGAAGGGGCCCTGTGGCAGAAGCTGCTGGCTCCAAGTGGGCAAAGGACAGGCAGAGATAAGGCCCAAGCCTTCACCTCCTCGCCTGAGCCAGGAGGTGCTACTTAATCACGCTATCATCAGGCGGCCTTTACAGTGCACCCAGTGCCTGAGCTAAGTGTCACTTCTTGAAACTTCTGGCTGCAGGGTAACGGTTGGGGGCACGGACTCGGGCCACACCCCCTGGGCTCAAACCTCTGCCCTGTGCTCCCTGGGCAAGTGCAGTGACTCCACTGCCACAGCTCCTTTGCTCACCTATCAAGCAGGTGGAGCAAGCGGCCCAGCCCCACAAGCTGGCCTGAGGAGTCACCAGGCAAAGCCCAGAAAGTGGTGTGTGACCTCGGTCAGTGACAATGTGCTTATGTTGCACAACTAAACTAGTGCAACAGTAGCTGCCGAGGGCAGGAAAAAGTTGCCAGAAGTGTAGTAAGAAGGAGGAGAGTGTACTTGCCAGAACTCTCTCAGAGAGTTGGGAGAGATGCTCCTGAGCTGGGGACTAACATCCTAGGATCACGAGTTCCCCCGAAGGGCAGGTGTCAGGAGCCCCGGAGGGACTCTGGCTCACGGGAAAGAATGTTTCAGCTGGGGCCAGAGCTGACCTTCTGAAGACAGTGGGGGAGAGCCGAGTCCTTCCAGCTCCAGACAATGAGGTGGAGCTGACAAGTGCAGGACGCTGTCCCCTGGCAGGGAGGGAGGCCCCATGCTTACCTTCCACCCACAGAGGCCAGGGTCCTTCGAGTGAGGGAGCTGGCTTGACTCCCACAGGGACACAGGAAGGAGCAGTGACCCTGGGGTTCTCTGAGGAGCTGCTCGCTCCACCCAACCCTGGGCAGGTGGCTTCTATCTGCGGACTTACTTGGCAAAGTACAAGATGGTTTCAGGGTTGATGGCTCCATCCAGGTGGACGTGCAGCTCCACCTACAGAGGCCAGAGAGGAGAGAGAGATGCCCATAGGTCTGAGGGGCCTTTTGGGGGTTAACATTAACCCTAGCCGAAAGGACCACTGGGTGCCATTTGCTGTGGACACTTACCACGTACACGTCACTGAACTCCACACAGTGTCTTATTTCCTCCTCGCCTGCAGGACAGGTTCGACTGTTACCTCCACCCATCTCTTTCACAGTTGAGGACATGGAAGTTCAGTGTGGTTAAGTATCTTGTCCAAAGCCACACGGTAGCCAAGTAAGGGAAGCAAGAATCCAACCCTATGCCTTTGCTCTTAACCACAGCGGAGGAGAGGCTTGAGTTCCAGTGCCGGCTGTGTGATCTCAGACAAGATGCTTGACCTCTTTGAGCCTCAGTTTCCACAACAATAGGATAGTACATCTCCGTCTCCCATAATAGTTGTTAAGGATTTTTAAAGATGGGGTAGGTGGACAGATGTGGCCCAGGGGAAACTGGCCCTGCCTCTTGGCCACAATATTTACCATGAGCTTTAAGAGAGGCACAGCAGGTACTGGGAGGCAGTGGGCTAATGGACTTTGCCATCTGGCTGTTCCAGGTCAGAGAGGGAACTTTTCCTGGGCCAGGGGGAGATCCAGAAAATTCTCAGCTATTATCTCTGTGAGAGCAGGACCATCTCTGGAACTCAGGGACCCCGATGAGGAAGTTGGTTGCCTGGCTGGGAAGAGAGGTCATTGGGAGCACCCATAGGAGCTGCTTCCTGCAGAGGAAACAGGGCCGGGGGTCCATGGGGGCTGGCAAGGAGGAGATCACAAGGCTTCCTGTGGTCAGGACCTTGGAGTAGTTGGGTCTCTCCTGTAATCTTCCAGCCAACAAGGCACAGAGCAGTCTTCACTCCCGGGCTCGGGGTCAAGTTATTTGTTGGGCTCCTTGACAACATGAGTTCAATTCCCACTTGGCAAAAGATTTATTGGATTCTCAAAATATTCTCAGCCTTGGAACACCAAAACTTGTAGCCCAGGGAATTGCCAACCAGCTGTGTGACTTGGGGCAAGTGACCTCATCTCCCGGAACCTTTTTCCAATCCTTAACCCTCCCAGGGCAGGGGGAGATCTAGTGAGAGAGGCAGGGTCATATCATGGTTGGAGCATCACTTAGTCCAAGCTGGCATCCTGGCTCCTTCACTCACTCCCAGTGTGAGCTGGAGAAAGTCCCTTGACTTCCTATGCCTCAGTACCTTCATCTGTCAAATGGGGGAATGGCATATCTCCTAGGACTTTGTGACAGTCAATGACATTAATGGTCGCAGAGCCCTGCATACATAGCAAAATGCTAGATATGTGTCAACTACAAGTCTTTTTCATTTGACAAACTATTCTGGGTGCTAGGGACACAGAGGTAAGCAAAAGGGACAAACTCTCATTCCTGTAGCACATATGGTCCGGCAAGGGGAGAGCCACCAGGCAAGTGTCATATCAATAAAGGTACAAAGCAGACATAGTGGCACACTCCTATAACCTCAGCACTGGGGAGGCTGAGGCAGGAGGATTGCAAGTTTCAGCCCAGCCTAGACAACTTAGCAACACCCTGTCTCAAGACAAAACTTTTTTAAAAAGGATAGGATGTAGCTCAGGGTGAAGGCCATAGGTTCAATCCCCAGAACTTCAAAAAAAAAAAAAAAAAGATGACATTCCTGGTTAGATTCAGGTTGGGGGTGATTCTCACAGCCTGTGACAGAGAGCAGCAGAGGAAGATCAAGTCCTAAAGGGTGACAAAGCACAGGGATGTAGGAGAGAGGCACCATTGTCTGGACTGATTTTAGTTAGGGTAAAACGGAGCGGTGACAGAGTGACGCCAGCACTTACGGGTGTCTTTCGACCCAGGCGGGGGATGTAAAGAGGCCGACAGGTGTGACACTATGGCCCGAACCAAGTCACCGAGGGGAAGTGTGTCAACAGAGGTGGGGCAAAGGCCCAGGACCATGGCCTGCGCCGTGGCTCAGTGGCTAAGCAGGGGAGGCTGAGCCTGGGGGAGAGCAGGCAAGTGGTGTGGGTGACAGGGGAGCCTGTGTGCAGAGGCTGGGCCATCAGACGTCGGGGAGCAGTGGGGCCCCACTGGCTTGACACAGTGAGCGCCGTAGTGGCCCCCAAAGCTATCTACAGTCCAATCGCCAGAACTGTAAGTATAAACTTCCATGGCAGAAGATGTGGCCCTTGGAAAGCCTGAGAGGAAGAGTTTGCTCTGGATGTGTGCGTGTTTCATGGTGAGGGATCGTTCAAACATGCCGTGAAAGTTGAGAGCCAGTGCCCCGGAAAGTCTTTTCGGAGGTCTGAGCAGGGGCAGAACCATACCGGAGGAAGGCAGAAACGGACACTTGAAAATACAGAACATTTAACTATCCTCTCACAAATCTTACCCCTGAATGCAGGACTAATGTCTGGAGGGAGGCAGCAAGCGATGTGGGTAAAGAGAAGTTTCAGGTGGGAGTGACTGGGTCATGTTTACACAGTGGTGCATGCCTGTAACCCCAGCACATACAGAGGCTGACACCAGGCAATTTAGTGAGACCTTGTCTTAAAAATAAAATGTTATCAGTGGTTCTGCTGCCTGCCTTGCAGGCACAAGGTCCCAAGTTCGATCCTCAGTACCAAAAATAAAAAAATAAAAATTTTAAAGGGCTAGGGACATAGTTTGGTGGTAGAGCACCCATGGGTTGATTCCTAGTATCAGGACAAAAGAAACTGGTAGAGCTAGGCATGGTGACACCTTGGAGGCTGAAGCAGGAGGACTGTAAGTTAGGGCCAGCCTCAGCAACTTAGCAAGTCCCTGTCTTAAAATAAAATAAAATAAAATGGACTGGGTATATAGCTTAATGGTGGAGCACTTGCCTAGCATGTACAAGGCCCTGGGTTCAATTTCCAGGACTAAAACAAACAAAACAAACATTGGCAGGGATGATGGACATTGAGAGAGAAGGGTGACAAGGTGGGGGAAGGTGTAGAATGCAAAGCCAGGCCTCAGAGCAGGGAAAGAGGCACTGAGTCCAGGAGGTGGCTGTTTGCTCCAAGGGTCTTTGAGGCTCCTTCTGAGGAAAGCATTTAAATGCCAAGCAAGACACCCTCAGGTGCACTGCTCTGGCCAACAGCTAGCAATGTTCAGGGCAGCTGCTGTCCCACCTGCCTGGGTCCTGAGTGACCACCGCAAGCAGAAACCTCACTGGAGACTCGAGAGGAACAAGGGTGTGAGCAAGAACAGCTCCCTCCTCACTTCTGGGTGGCTCAGATCGGGGGATGTCGGTCCCGCAGCACAGAGCAGCCCATCCCGGCTGACCCAACACCTTTCTGCACTTGGAGTCCCAGACTGGGGTGAGACACAGGACCGAGAGCTGTGTGCTGAAGAAAAAGGCAGGCAAGGGCAGCAGTGTACCAAGTGTGCGCAGAAAAGACCACATGGAGGAGCAGCAGACAGAAGAGGACTCACAGCTGGGAGAATCGGAAGGAGGAGGAGGACAGGTCCAGGTGGAAGGGATGTAGGTGGGAACTGGCCAGGGCTCCCGGGGGCCTCAGCAGAGGGTTTCCCATGGGAGTGTTTTAAATAGGAGAGGCACCTTTTAAAACCGTTTCCTCGCCAATAGGCAGAGGGCTATCGGGAGGGAAGCCGGGCAGAAGACAGTGCTACCTCCGTGCCCAGATGGGGACTGAACCTATGGGTTGGACGCGCTGCAGCCTCGGGCACGGGGCGTAGCGAGCGGAGCCAACCTGCCTGTTGCAGAACACCTTCCATGCCCCCAGTTCTCGTCTGTCCTTGTGGCCACCTGTGAGGCCACCCAGACATGTTTTCGGGGAGGGACAAAGGCAGGAGCCATCTTCACTGGTGGCCCAAGCTCAGGCAAGGCTTCTACCAATCCTTCCAGAAACCTGCTGAGAAGCCTGCTCACTCACCCCAGATGACCTGAGGGCCAAGGCGGGGGACAGGCGGGGATCCTGCTCTCCTGACCCCATTCCAGGAGAAGGAAGAGCAGGGGGCTCTAAGATTTAAGTATCATGTGCATGTCTGACTTCATCCTCACAATCAGGGAGGGGACTTTGCTCCCATTTTATAGATGAGGAAAAAGAGGCTTAAAGAAACATCTAAAGACTTAGAGTCACTCAGTGATAGGGTCAGAATTTGAACCCAGGTCTGGCTCCTGAGCTCCTAATCACTATACTGTATTTTATCTCACTTCAGACAGGAGAGATACAGCAATAGTAATGCTAACAATGGGGCTACCTGCTATCATCAGACCCTTTATCTCATTTACTCTTGGCCCCTTGGCAAGGTACACATTAGCTCTACTTGCAGATGTGGAAATGGACTTGGCCAGCTCAGTGCTGCAAAGTTCAGGAACCTTCCCAGGATCACACAGACTGGTGGTGCAGTGAGGTTGGAGCCCAAGTCCTGTGCACGGGCCACGTAGAGCATCTCCCAGCCCTCACACCAAGCCTGTACCTAGTCTCCTGACCTCTGGAGGGGAGCTTCATACCCTCGCTCTGCACTTGCTCTCCTTGACGCTGACACACAGCTGACCTGGCATCTTCAGAACAACAGGAAATCCTCCCAGGGCTGATGTGAACAGGAAGCAGCCCCAGTGACTGACAGCTATTTGCTGCGTGCTGGGAACTGGGGAAACACACTAAGTCATGGCTCTCAAATTCTTACTTTCTCCTCTCCCTGTCCTGCATCAGCAACGCTGGGTCTTCCCCCTGCTGTGAGGAAGGGGCTGACCTCCCTGTCTTGGGACTGGCAGAGAATCCAGACAGGGGCAGGGTAGCCAGGGCGCCTGACCAGCCCCTGGGCCCTGAGCACTGCAGCCAGAACCCAGATGAGCCACCAGTACCCTCTTCCAGCCACAGTCCCCCTCTTCCTGCCCCTGCTCTTGGCAATGAGCTTGGCAGTACAGGGGCCAGTGCCTTACGTCCCTATGGCTTCTTAGGGTGAGCCAGGAGACAGCAGTCCTAGGCCACCAAACCATTACAGCCCTACCTCCTCCAGGAAGCCCTCTATGCTCAGCCCCATCTGGGCTCCTACAGCTCTGAGGCAGAGAATGGAAGGGGGTAAGCAGTTTCTCAGTGAGTCCTGCTGTCTTGGGGCCCAAATGAGCTCTGTGCTGCTGCTGAGAGCTTCCCCAGATGTTTCCCCACGCAAGATCCGTCTTCTGGCTGAGGGAAATCACATGGGGCAGCAGACCAGGGATGGCTCCAGTTTTCTTTGCTTTAAAGGGGACAAGACTGAGGCATAGGGAGATTAAGGAACTTGCTTTCAGTCACAAGAGACTAAGGGGTGTCTCAGACTAATGAATACCATGGCCAGGAACTTGTCTGACCCTAAAGCTGAACGTTTTTCCCCTGCCATGAGCTCCCTGCATCCTGGATTTTGAGGAGCCAGGTGGGGGAATGATGGGAAATTGTAAGCAGGATAAGTAAGAGCCATGGTAAACCCACTGCTGCTGAGCCACGCCTGCGCTTGGGCTCTGTGACACAGGCATGGGTATAATTGCCACGTCGAAGGGAAGACTGAAGCACAGTGCACTTTAACTCACTGAAGTCCACCCCTCCGCCAGAAGTGGGAGCTCAGGACTCAGATAGCCTGGCCTAGAGCCTGAGTTCATAACTCTGGGCCCTTCTCCCTCGCTGGTCAGCGGGACCACAGAGGCTACCCACCCTCACAGCTGCTCTGGGGCCTCAGTGACTTGGGGTGAGTGTGAACCACCTGCCAGCGCCCCATCCAACGCCTCACCACAGCATCACTTCCCCCCCGGAGGCACTGCAGGGGCCTCCCGGTCTCCCCCGGGCCGAGGTGCTGAGGCCAATGGAGCATTGAGGCTGGCCAGCCTCCCTCCCTTCTTCTACTATGACTTCCCCTCTCTCTGCCCAGTGAAAGGCTTCCAGGAAACCCAATCTCTTTTGTTCCCCTCACCCAGCTGCCACGTGAGTCAAATGGGTAAGGCAGGGTCTCCCAGGGGCATGTTTGTCTCAACAGGTGGCTCTGGTAACTGAAAGGCACTGAGAGCCCAATGAGGGAAAAACCTGAGCTTTGTCTCTGGAAGACAAGAAGCAAGACCGACACTGCAGGTGGGGGAGCTGAGTCCACAGCCCTGGGAAGGCCTGCACATCTGAGGGCCTGCAGAGCCCGCTGCTACCTGCAAGTCTAGAGAAGAAACACGGCACTGCACACCTATCACCAAAACGATGTCGACTTTTTCCGTTCCATCGTCTTCTGTTTGAAGAAGGCACTGGTTCGCATTGCTGCCCTCATTGGAACTTCTCACACCATCCATTCCTTGTTTATTTGTGTTTTGGGGGGTGTCATTTTGTTTAAGGTTTTTTTGGTTTTTTTTTTTTCTTCACAAAGAGTGACTGGTAAATTAGCAAAGCAGTTAACTGCATCACGTCAGTTTTAGGTTATCGGCTGCTTTCTGGCCATGTGACCAAATCACGAGTCAGTTTCCTCATATGTAAATGAAGATAACAGGACAGTAGTGAATGTGGAATGAGTCG